TTAGCAAGGCCCTAGGCAACCCAGAGAGACCTTGTCTCTAAATAAAACACAAAAATGGCTGGGGTTGTGTCTTAGTCATTAAGCACCCCTAGGTTCAATAAAAAAAAAAGTGGGGTAGAGAACATACATTGCATAACAATGAGGGTCAGTGTGGAAGGAAGATTTTCACAATTTTCATAATTTCAATGTTAGAACCAAGGGAATGTATTACCTATTCAGCAGGTAAATAAATGAATACAATGTAAAGTTTAAATAATTCATTTTTCCATTTTCTTTTAACTCAGACTTCAAATATCCCCCTCTAGGACGCTGATGTTGATAGCAGAGTTGTCCCCGTGGCCTCCGTGCAGAGCGGGTTGCTGGGCCACCACTTCCTCCCAGAACTCCTGTCCTGTCTGGCCTGAGTCTGTCCTGGATGCCCAGGAAGGCCCAGCCCTCCATCTGCCGCCCCAGACCTGCAAGCTGCTCACTCCCCTCCTGCCAACTGAGCATCGTAATTACACGATAAAGACTAATTGCCCATGACTAGGCTCTTCCACAGTCACAAACATTAACCAAAGTCACGCCTAACAGGCCTCACCATTAATTATCTGTGCTCACCGCTCTCAGATTTAATTATGCTCTGGCAGGAAGGAGCGATCCGTGTACGATGACTAAGGAGACGCAGCTTGCCCCCTTCTCATCAGGTGGCTGGCAAAGCTGCTCCGAGACCCCTTTCCAGTCCCACCCCCACCCCCAGTGAACAGAAGGAGATAGCGGGGGAGGGAGCCTGCATTTATCCTGCACCTACTGTGTGTGGCTGGACCCAGGCATTGTAGAAGACATCGTCTCCCCTAATCCTTGCAATCGAGATGGGTCCCCCATTTTGCAGATGGGAAAACAAAGACTCAGAGAGATCAGCCCCTTGCCAAGCAACTGGCAGAGCCAGGTCTGGGTGAGTTTCAGGCTCACACTTATTCACTAGTCGGTATGGGGGGGGGTCTTTCTCCAAAGCATTAACAAACATTATTGCACCTTAGGCCCACATGTGTTTATTAGTACCTAAAGCCCAGAGGGGTTTGATGTCACATGGTACACGCCCAGGTAACTGTCCCAGCGGAGCCAAGAAGGCAATGGAGTGGGCAGGTGAGAGGCTGGCTCTCACGTCCATCTGCCTGCGTCATGGTCTCTTGACTGTGCAACCTTGGTCAGGTTACTTTCTCTCCTTACCGGTGGAATAAAACTGGGGAGATGAAATATTTACGTGAAAAATCCTTAGCCTAAGGCATGGCATTCCTCTGGAAGGAAGAAGACTGGTTCCTTCTTCCACAGTAGCTTGTGCTTTTCTTTCGGTCACTTGATAGACTGATGAGAAAAACTGGTCCCAATGATGCATGGTTTCCCTCTCTGCCTTGTTATGGTGATTTTTAGCTTCTCCACTAGGGGGTGGAGTCTATTTCCCTAGCTCTGGGGGCTTGGGCTAGGGAGTGACACTGTGCCATTTCTGTGCCTGGTCTTGCATGCTGCTGCTCTTCCCGTGGATCCCTGCACCTTCCTGTGACCAGCTCAGGCTAGCCTTTTGGATGGTGAAAGACAGAGCCCAGGTATCCCCATCACACCAGCTGATAGCCAGCCAACTCAGACATAGGGCAGAGCCATGTAGACCAGCAGATAGGCAGCGGACTTGGAGTTAATTGCAGAATCAGGAGTAAGCCCCGATGAGATCAGCTGACCCTGGTGCAGGTCAGCAGATCATCCTGCTGACTCATGAGCAATAATATTGTTTTAAGGAACTGAGTTTTTAGTGCGATTCTTGTTACCTGGCGATAGCTA